CATATTCGCTGTCGAAACGGTACGATTACATGACCTCGAACAGTGCAGAGTCCATGAATGCTTTATCTGTAGATGCAAGGAAGATGCCTATAATACCCCTTCTTGAGTTCTTCTGTCGTCTTTCACAGAAATGGTGTAACAAGCGTCGCATCGAAGGAGGTATGGATTTAATTTGGACTTTAATTAGGTCGAATAATAAGTTAATTATATATATCTTCTTTACAGGGAAACGTTCAACAGTGCTAACCAAGTGGGCTGGAAAAGTAGTTAGTAAAAATGAGGAACGTACGGCAGGATGGTCCGTTTCTGGTGTTTCAGATGCAATATATCAAGTTCATGATTTCAAACATGGTGGCATTGTTGATCTGAAGCAAGAGACTTGTACATGCAAATATTGGGAAGGAACTGGGTTTCCTTGTGGTCATGTCATAATGGTCTTGAAGCACTTGAAAAAAACTAACTTCGGACATCTGGCTATAGATGCTTACAAAATGGAAATGTACCGAAGTACGTATGAGGAGCCGGTTTACCCCCTTCCAGAACCGTGTGATTGGGAGATTCCTGCTGAGATGATGGTTGTTAAACCCCCGATAATGGATACACGTCAAGCTGGTAGACCGAGAAACAGAAATCGTATCCCGTCACAAGGTGAGGAACCTATAGTAAGAAGGTGTAGTAGATGTGATAGTACAACACATAATGCAGCGACTTGTCTGGCATTGGTCCCAAAGAAATAAAAAAAGGCTACAAAAAGTAGTGCAGCATTAGGTAATAACACAAAAGGGAAAGGGAAAGGGACAAAAAAGGGACTCAGGAGACGCTAGATACGCACGGGACACAAGAGACGCGTTGGACGAGTGGGACGCAGAGAGAAGACTATTGTTCAACGTTTGATTTGAATGATTGATGTTGTATTTATAATTAATTATGTTTTGTTTTAGAGAACATTAATTTGTGTACTTTGAAATGGTGTGTTTATTTTAAAGATGATGGGTAATATTATGATTATATTAGTGCATAATTACTAGTACAATAATAACTACTACTCGAAGATAATACATTCAACAAACCAGAAACATATATTAAACGTACAACAACAGTAATTAACTTAAGGGAATTGCAAAATATACTTTTCTTTCTCCATTGTTATGTAGTCGTCCCTAATTCTTATTTTATCTTCCATACGGTCCTTTTGGATACCAAGTTCTATCATTTCTGCATCTTTGTCAGCAAGCCATTTTTCAGACAGTTTGATATTCTTCTTAGTTTTTTTATCCAATCCTCATGATCTTTGATTTTTTTTTAGTAATCGTCATCCTTTCCTCAACCTCTTTGCACTCCGCCGCAATGACGTCACGACGTTCAGTGAGAGCTCGAGATGAGTCTTTATCTTTTTTTTTTGTTGTTCTTCAGCCCATTGTAGTTGTTGCAAAGTATCCTCCGACATATACGGCTCTCTTAAAATTGGTGATGGGGCAAGAAAAGGGTCGATCGGATCACAATAGAAACAATCAACTTCGTTGCACGAGCAAATATACAAAGTTGAAGATGAACTCATTTTAAATTTTAAAAAAAAATTATAACTCTATACCATAAATCCAACGACCATCCATGACTATATATAGTCCCTTCCACTCCGCAGAGAGCTGTTGTCAGTCCGCAGAGCTTTTTGTCAGTCCACAATAATGTTTGTCAGTCCACAGAGCTTTTTGTCAGTCCGCAGAGCTGTTTGTCTAGTCGTTGTCATCCATACATTACAATTATGGGAATACAATTATTTATTTAAAGGTAAACATTTTTTATTAAAAAGTGAAAAACGCCAACAGACCATTACAACTACGGTTAACATAGAACTGAATACAAATTAATATTCGTTGTGATCCATACAATACAGTTCAATTGAATTGTCGTGGAGGTAAGACCACAACACTTTCAACTGGTATTTCCCAATGCCTAAGGGTTGGAATAGGATTGACCGTCTCAGTTTGATAAGCATTTCGATACACCGTTGTAGTTAACTTTAAATTTACCATTTGTTGGATTTCTGCAATTTCGAGTCTTTGTAGTGAAGCTATAGCATGCTCACAAGGTATACCGCATTTTTGCCATTTACCGCAACTACAAATACCACGGTCTAATTGGACAGTTTCGGTTGTTGAATATTTAGTCACTTCGTATCTGTCGCCAACAATATGCGTAATCCTACAACCATCCGAGTGGATAAATCTTTTATGTATCACCTTAAGTGCATAAGGGGTTAGAAGACCATGAAAATCCCCTGTGAAATGAAATGAATCAAAAAAACAAAAATTATGATGTCATAATGTATAATAACATATCAATTCACCATTTGAGTGTCATAACTTATAATTACCTCCAAACGCAGCACGTTGAAGATACACTGCTTGCATCGAGTCATGGGCCATTTCAATGATTGTTGTTATTGGAAACTCATGCGTGTTTGTTTTAAACCAATTGACAACAACGGGAATGTCAATGAATTTAACATTGAAACGTACTCTTGGAAAACAAGCCCGTACCCATTTTGCAATGGGAATATTGTCAAGCCAATGAAGATCATTCCCATTAACCTCATTTTTTAAGTTGTTCAAACATGCATAAAAATGAGATAAATTATACGCTTTACAAGTCTTCCAGAACAACTGCTCTACGACTGTATTGCTTCCGATGGAAGCGCGTATTTTCTCGGCTATATTTTTACAACAATAGCCATGATATGAATCAGGGTAGACTCTTTCAACTGCAAAGTCTATAGAATCAGACATATGGGTTATGAAACCAACTTCTGTATTGTCACCCAAACATTCTTTAAGCCTCCTCATGAACCATAACCATGAATTGTCACAGTATATGGTTCCCAAAGCAAACGCTATGAGAAGGGGTTCATGATTTCCATCTAAAGCAACCGCAATGTACATGGATCTTACATACGCCCCAATTAGAGGTACTTGACCAACGAATATGATTGGTATCATAGACGTGAGAAACGTACGAATCTGTAAGTCAACATGTGTTGGATTAGGCATGTAACAACTTGAAATAACTAAATATTTATGTACTATAAGGGATTACATACCACGCATCCCAATGCCACGAAACAAATTTGGAAACGATTGTACTGATCTTTCGTAATGTACGTGTAGGTGTTAGGATTGGTTCTTTGCAGATTATGGAAAAAAGTCGGTAGGCTGGAGAAACTTTTTCTTAATACCTGATTGACTGAACTCATTTTCACAACTTTGGACGCCTTGTAAAAATGGAAATGCTTGTCCAATTTATAAGGAATTAGTATACATTATTCCGCAGAACTTACTTGTCAGTCCGCGTAAATGACTTGTCAGTACGCGTAACTTATTTGTCAGTCCGCGTAACCTGTTTGAATGTATGGTTTTTAAACATGGGAATTATTTTTCATAAAAAAAGGATAAATACCATATTACATATAATTAAAGCAATACAAGAACAATACAAAACGCAGTACTAGTTAAAAAAAACGGGACATTTTTCAAAAGATTCCAAGGGGCTTCATACTCGAAACTCTGTCCGTTGCTAATGGATTTGTATTCTTCTTTAGCCGCCTCCAAGATGTCTTCCTCAGTATCATTCACACGATCGTCTTCAATCTTATTATAAAGATCGTTGAATAACACAACTTTTGTTTTCAATTCATACCATTTTGCAGCTATATCAAGCGTGCTGCGATGGTTTTCTATGGTGGTTTCAGCGTCAGTGTTGAAGGTATTCGTTAATAGGACCCAAAACATTCTATCCTCCAAACTGGTGTTCTCGTAGACATTAATATATGCACGAGTTAGAAGCAAATAATCGTTAGCGGTCTATGGGTTTGAACCCATTGTAAAACATACAAACTACATGAACTAAAACAGATTAGATGAAGTGATACATAATATTTTGTAGTTTTATATAGACATAACAGTCTGCATAGCTATTTGTCAGTCCGCGTTACTCACTTGTCAGTCCGCATAGCTATTTGTCAGTCCGCGTTACTGACTTGTCAGTCCGCATAGCTATTTGTCAGTCCGCGTTACTCACTTGTCAGTCCGCATAGCTATTTGTCAGTCCGCATTACTGACTTGTCAGTCCGCATAGCTATTTGTCAGTCCGCGTTACTCACTTGTCAGTCCGCATAGCTATTTGTCATTCCGTGTTACTGACTTGTCAGTCCGCATAGCTATTTGTCAGTCCGCGTTACTCACTTGTCAGTCCGCGTTACTGACTTGTCAGTTCGCATAGCTATTTGTCAGTCCGCGTTACCTATCTTTTTATATATAGTAAAGCAAGTATCTATATGTCCGAATTAGAGGTAAGGGATCATTACACAAAATGGCATCCAATGTACCAACGTCTTCAAATGCAGCTAATCTGTCTAATGCGGGCTGCTCCAACTAATGGTACATCTCCATGGACGACAACAGAGGTGTTGGTCCTAACACGATGCTGGATTGTCGTTTACGAGGGTCTGCCGGTAATAGCTGCCCTTAATTGCCTTCTTGGTGATGAATTGTCCCGCTTAGTAGCTTTGTTCAACTATAACGTGGGACAAGGACAAAAACGACTAAAACCCGATATTGTTAGTAAATGGATGGATTTAAAGACTAAAGTCACATGGTACAATCGATGCTACGATTATGAGAAAATGCGATGCTCTGATGCTGATGATGAAGAACTTCTTGAATACGTGAACGGATTTTACCTGTGCCAGTTTGATGAAACTGAGTTCGAGTATACGGACGTTTGGAATCTGGTTAGAAATAAACCCTTTTTCATGTAGACGACTCTTTTATTCGTAATGTTCTATGTAATGTTTGTTAGTCGTTCATCTTTTATTTGCAATGTTTTCTGTAATGTTATTATGTTATTTCAAATGTTTGTTTTGTTTTTAATGTATCGTAATATATGTTGGTGAATTATGTTTAAAAAAATATATGATACAAAAGTTGTTTGTATTAAACAAAACTACTAAAAACAAGTATTTCATAATAATGTATACAAACTTCCAAACATCAAGTTATTTAGTATCCCAAATAATATTTGTCATCCTATTTCTGTAAAGAAATCCCGCATCTCTACATGGCTTATCACTCTTCACCGGTACCCCCGAAGCAATCATTTCCATATACATGCTTACGAATACTCCACAATCTCCTCTATTAGCAATATATTCTTGTTGTGGCGCGTCTACAATATCAATAAACTCCACAACTGCGTTCTCTTTGTGTCCATCGGGGAAATCCTTCCAGTAGTCAATCGCATCTAGCTCTTCGATTATACTATCCCCAAAACTTTTGAATTCTCCACCAGTCAAGTACGTTGTGAAGTAATTCATACATCGTGCTGAATCATAAATGTGTACTTTCCAAATATCTAAATGTAGCACTGCCAAAAACCAATGGGCATGAGGAACGTTTATGGGGAATAGAACCTGCAAACAAAAACAAATGTAATAGTCATTAATTCGTTTCCTATATAAAATAAATAATTAATAAACTTAACTAACCATATCCACATCCTTCCATTTAGGATGGCCTCCGACACCATTTGCAATATTCCTAAGAAAATATGTTTTTCCGTTTTGCAAATTAAGTTCTTGAGGGAATATCGTCCACCTTGCGTTCGCCGGCCGTCTTTCCATGAGCAAGGCACTCCATATCGCAATATGCTGTACATTTTAAGATAAAAATTTTAGAGTTTTTTATATAAATTATCGTCTAAATATGTAGTTAAAATTTATATTTAACGAATGTTACCGAAGAAATTAACCACCCAGCGTCAGTAACTGCAAGTAACCTCGACCAAAACTCCACATCCAGTGTCAGCATATGCAGCCTATGTTTAGTGTTCAGGTTGGAAGAGATACTATTCCATTCTTTCCAAAAAGTCAACGTACTGGCAGCTTCAACACTGTCGAGCAGCAGATGATTTGAAACATCATTACTCTCTTCATTCACAATGTCTTCATTTGCTTTTTCAGGACTCTTCACCACTTTTTTTTTCTTTGCTTTGGTGATTTTCTTCAATTTTGGTGTGGATTGCATCTAAAAAATTATCATGTTAAATAATTATCAATACGTTAATATTTAAAAAATATACCAAATTTAAAATATGAGTTTTGTACCACTGTGAACGGAGTCCGCTGATACCATGGAACACCCCTCTTTCGTTGCGGCCTAACAATAGGAGTCATTTCTTTTGTGTGATGTTCACCCACGTCCAATGACGGCTCAACATGCGTAGGTGTAGACTCAAATTCCCCCTCCAAACCATGACTACCTATATTATCATAGTCAAAATGTGTATCTTCCTCCTCTTCATTTATCATCTCTTCCTCCTCTCGAAACCTTCTGTCTGGTTCAAAATTTGTGTCGGGTTCATCTTTTTTCTGTAATACACGGTCTACTTTAGAACTTAAGTCAGCCACAACGCCTAGTAGACGCTTCACTAATGCCTTTGTGCTCGTCTTCTTCTTCTTTTCCAATCTTGATGTGTCGTGTGACATATAACTTGTTTCTGTTTCAAGATGTTGCGAGGAAGAAGCATTTGTGGCAGATTCAGTCGAAGATGTTTGTATTTCGGACTTGTACATCCTTCTTCGAGCAGGCGAGGAAACAGGAGGTGGACTATTTCGGACGGGACTATGTTGCCGTGGGGGAGACTCTACAGGGTTAAGAGTCCAATTGACATAACGAACATAAAACGGCAACATCAGCTCCTCCGGGTTTGCCTCGACATTAATAGGTTCGTTGTTAGGCTGCAAAAATCAGATTGTTAGTTTAACATGAAAATATTTTGGAATTTGTAAATATTGATGATTGTTAATATAAAAACCATACCACAGACACGTTCATTATTCGACAACATTGAACCCAATTCAACGGTGTTTTACTTCTCCACGCCCTCATCCGTGGCAATTCTGTCGGCGTGCGTATATAAAACTTGGTTGCCTCTGGGAACGTCTCCAAAATCCATATCTATGAAAAAAATGTAAGTAATGTTCTATTATACTATAAAAGTCATGATACAAACTTATTATATAATACAAAACGAAGTTCAAATTTTTATAGTATAAAAAACTAAACAATGATAACTATTAAAATGCATTAGAAACTAACCTTAAACGGAAGCATAAAACCGGGAACGGTATACTTGTGTACTTTCTTCAATTCGGGATTGGCCTCTTTCAATTCTCTAAACTCTTCTATTTTCTTAAACATTCCACGCATCATACGCGAAGTATATTTCCAGAAATACGTACCCCATGCAAACCTGCAATTTTCAATTTATTTATTATAATTAGTGAATTGCATACTACTGCGGGAATGCTTGTTTTAAATGTAATACCTGTTCCAATCATCTATATTATCAGCAAGCTTGTATACTGCTGCATGAATGCCCGTTTTAACGTCCCGTCCGTGTAGACCCTTCAACATAAAAACAAGCTGGATAAGCATCACAACATCTTCATCTTGTAGTGCCAAATAATTTGGGGACATAATTAAGTCTTCTAAAATTTTCAGCCGCAGACGTGCATCAGAAATCTCTGGAAACAACCGAGCACGGAGATTTGAATTTGACGGACCCTTTTCGTCATGGAGTAAAACCACATAAGGACTAACTTTTAAACCACAAATCAAAATATATTCAGTTTCACCAAAACCCAACTGGATCCCCCTCTACATCAAACAGAAACCTCCACATCTCAAATATTTGTTGACACCTTACTTCGTGCAACATCATCTTATGCACAAGTAAGGGATCACCATGTGGGATATGCATTCCTAAGAATATTCCAAAGGGGGAAGCTTCGAATAATACTCGTTGTGATTGTGTTAGGCGCGGAAAATAGTCTTTAATGATAGTCCCCACTACGCCTTTCAAAGTTAAATCCGCTTTTTGATTAAGATCTTCGTGCTACACAACAAAATAAAAAAAATTATTATTTCATTTAAAAAATTACTAATTGAAAAAAAATAAATAATATTATTCCATTATGAAAGAAATAGCAACATACTTAAAAGTAGAAAAATAAAAATTGTGCAAAAACCATCACTCCGCGGAGGCTAGAGGTCATTCCGCGGAGGCCTCTCTGCGGAGTGACATCTAGCTTACGCGGAGTCTGCAATGTTGGAAACACATCACTCCGCGGAGGAAACACATCACTCCGCGGAGAAGCCTCCGCGGACTGACGTCCCCCTCCGCGGAATGGATCATCCGCATTTTGAATCATATTCTGTTAACCTAAAAATCCTAAATCTGTATACATATTCAATGTAATCAAATGGGTTTTCCTCTAATTTGAATCGTATTCGACATTAACAATTAGATGAGAATGTGAGAAATACCCGGGAACCGTATCCATCGGCCATTACATCGGGGAATCCGGGGTCCATCGGTGAAGGAAACACCTTTGCCACTTGATTTCGCCGGAGTTGAAGTCGTCGCCGGAGTTGAAGCCGTCGCCGGAGTAGAAGTCCTCGCCGGATTTTAATTCTTCGATCAACGTTTGGAGGAGTCGATGCGAAGGGGGGACGAGGAACGGGGACCAGTGGGGACCAAAAGAGGAACCCTTTCTTTTTCTCAAAAAAAATTGGGTGGAAATTACCAAATTACCCCCGCTTCGCGGAGAATTCATGGTTCCGCGGAGGGTCCTCTGCGGAATGCGTGTCTATATCTGGAAAAAACGTTTTTTATGACTAAATTTTTAAATTTACCCCCTTTTTTTTGTCTATTTGAGGTATTTTCCCTATTTATGTTGTAGTTGAGAGGGATGTAAATGAGAGGAGAAAAAAAAAAGATGATATGATGCTTATGTAACAAAAGGGTTGGAAGGGTCGAGGGAGATGGACTACATCTATCGTAAGATAGTGTTTGGTGCATGGAACTGAACTGGACCGGACTAGATGGTATGAGAGTGGAATGAACAACTTGTTTCTATTGTGTTTGGCAAGACTACGACAATATGACATAACAAAACTCAATGTTGAGATTACTAAATTACATTTTTTTAATAGGACCAGGCGGTGTGGGTACGGTCTCCATCGCGGTTTGCCACGTTGGACCAAAGGAACATTTCCCCCACCCTACGGTCTCCTTCGTGGTTTAGCCGCATACGTCTAAAATCTGTCGCACCCTCTCTCTCTCTTCTTTATTCTTCTTTCTTTTTTTCTCAATGTTTGAACGGTCAAAATTTTTAAAATTCATTTTTTTTCTTTTTACCTACAAATATAGCCTTATAAGCCTTAATTTACAACACATAAATCCTTTTCATTTATCTTTCTATATATTTCTCTCAAAACTCTTAAGAAGTCTTCTTCCAACAACCCAACCAACCAAAATACATCCACTAGAAACACCCCAAGACCTTATGATCAACTTATTTATTCGTCCCTGTTTATCATTATGGTGGTATGCTACCGTTTACCCCAAGACCTTTGATTCTTTGTCTCAACCTGAATTCGTTCAAGAAATTCAAGCACACGATTCCTATTCCAAACCTGAAATCGTTTGAGAAACCCAACTCACCAAAGAACCAAAAAAAAGAGAGAGAGAAGGCGGCGGCCAAAGCATTGAAACATGAAGACAATAAAAGACTAAAAACAAGATCATTCTTTGAGGCAAGTTACAAAAAGGTTCCACAAAGGATGAAGCAGGTAAAGTATCATTCAAAAGACCAAGTGTATTCCAAATAGGGGAAAACAAACAAATAAGTCATCTTATTTAATGAGTTGTATAACAACATGAAGCGTTAATGGAAAAGTGGAGAAAGTGATGATGTGAATTTGAAAAAAACTCTAAAAAGTGTATCACCAAGAAAGCATGAAGACTTTTGTCGCACCCCCAAACCAGAACGGCGGAAACGTTCGGGGGCGGAGGACTTAAGGTAAGTATCACAACACATGCATCATAGTAATCAAAGTACAAACAACCATTGTATTTAAAAAGTATAAATATTTACATGTGTTCAATCATTGTATATTGAACCAAAATATAGTTATACAAAAGAAGATATGACTCAACAAAGCTCCATCTTCTCAAAAGCTCGGGGAGTACCTGTGTATTATTTCCCTGAGAATACAAGTAATTTGAAAAGAGAGTATCAACATAAAGTTGAGTGAGTGCATAAATGTTTATGTTTGAAAGAGTATCTCTGTATCTTGTGTATGTAAACTGTTCCAGAAAATCCTATATTTTCTGTTTGTATATGAAAAGTAGTTTTATTCCCATAAAACCGTTCTCTGTGTATTAATGTTTTGTATTTGTATTACTTATGAAAACTTGTAACTGAGAGTGTGCCTGGCTCCACCAGTTGTTGTTGAAAACTGTATTGAATCTTTGTATTTTGTATTCTGTGAACTAGTACTTTGAAGGTGTACTTTCGTTTAGTTATTTATACACTAACGTATTGTTAATATCTTTTTAATGAGTTATTATAACCATACTATGATTGATGGCCTGAAACAAACGCTTTGTGGGCTTTTAAACTGGTGATAACAATTGCCACTCATCTAACTGTAGCTAGCAGCCTGAGTGCGGGGTTGTCAATCCCGATATAGATCTACACACACTTGTTTCGATCCCCGGCTGGAGATTTTGGTTATAATGTCAGGACTTTTCTATGTTGTCTAAAATGAATTAAACAACCTGAATCTAGTGTCTCATAAAAAGCATATAAACGTTACATGTATATTAGTTTGAAAACTCAATCATTCTGAAATAATGATTGACAGTATATTCTTTGAATCAAAACCCAATCATTCTGAAATAATGATTGACAGTATGTCCTTGAATTAGTATTTCCAAACATGTATTTGATAAGTGTAAACCTTGATTTGTTCTGTATCAAAACCCTAGTTTCTTGTGTATTCTAGTATACTTGTATCATGAATTATTGTTCTATGTATAAATTATACCTATTATAATTTATATGTACTCTCTGATTGTGTATTTAACCATGTTTGCATGTAATCCCTTGCTCAACATGTTACAAAGGTAGTTAAACTGATGAAATAACTATTATATTTATATACATATACAATTTTATATATAAGTAAAATTTAAACGACACTCGGACAAGTAACCGGTACTTTAAGCCCACATCCAAACAAGGAAAAGGACCCAAAATGAGTTATCAGTCCTAAGCCTTTTAAATCTTATATATATATATATATATATATATATATATATATATATATATATATATATATATATATATATATACAAATATGAATTTTGGGGAAAATATAAGATTATAAAAGAGTTTGATGTTTTGAGTATTTTTAGATAATTTAATGTTATTTTATCATGATTTGAATCATGATTTTATAACACAAAGTTCTTGTGTTATGCTTGTATTCCCACCCTTAAAACAGTAGAAATTATGAAAATACGGGGGTATGAATTCACTTGATAGATGGTGAACCGGACAGAGTTTCGTTTCACGAAAAGGAGTTTATTTGTCGAGAAACCGGCTCAAATTGGGCAGAGTTTCGACAGGAGAGAGGTTACTTCTCGGGAATCTCGGGGCTTCGAGGCTTGCTTAGGGTTCGAGACTTGATACCGGGGCTTTAGGGGTTGTATATGAGCTTATGGGAGTGGAGAATGTGAAAGAGAATGAAAATTGGGGTGAAAAAGTGTAAAATTTCGGAAGCCCTCGCATGCATATATATAGTCCGAAGGTTCGGACCCGGAGCTATGCGAAGCTTACACGCGTCGGACAGGTGGCTTACTTCGGACTGAAGGCTCGCAAGGTGCTAGGCTCGGATTGGACCAACCCTCGGTCCAATGGGAAGGAGACACGTATGCGAAGGAGGTGTCCGAGGTGCTGTCCGGGGTGTCTCCGGGGTGTCTCCGGGGTGTCTTCATGCGAAGCTGTTGGCTGCTAAGTGGACCTCGGCTGCGGTCCAATCAGGAGGTGCCACGCATGGCTTCGGTCCACTCAGCGGCTGCCACGTGTCACTTGCGAAATTGCCCGGTTTTGCTATTTTTCTTTATTTTTGTGCCAAAACTTGCGAAAATCATAACTTTCGCATACGAGCTTCGTTTTTGGCGTTCTTTATATGCACGCGTAGGTAAAATCATACTCTACGACTTTCGTTTAGACTTCGTCGACTAGTTTTGACTTTATTTTTAATATTATTATTTTAAACAGACCGGGACGGGAATCCGTTAAAAATTCATAACTTCTTCATCCGACGTCCGTTTTCGTCTGTCTTTTTACCGTTGTACTACTACCGACGAGACCTTCAATTATCGTTTAGGTTGTGTCGGCTAAAAATCGGTCGATCTTTCTTTCGAGTTTTTAGCTGTACACTGCTATACTGAAACTTAGAAAAATCATAACTTCCTTATACGAAGTCAGATTTTTCCGTTCTTTTTATGAAAGTTCTCGGTTTAACATAAACTACAACTTTCATTTAGATTGTTAAGGCTAAAAAGCCTTTTATCGAAAATTCAGTTTTTACACTGAACAGTGTTTTGTCGGTTTTGTCGCGGATTTTCGATTAGTCATAACTTCTTCGTTATAACTCGGATTTTAGTGTTCTTTATGTTTTTGGAAACCTTGTTACAATCTCTATCACTTGGTTCATCCCAATCGAGATTGCTAAATAATTTATTTTTGAGGGTCAATTATGTAAATATGCACATTATGCTAAAATTTCTCTTTATTATTATAAAAAAGAACTACACATTGACCTAAACTATTACATAGGTTTGAAATTACGATTTGTTACATTATCCCCCCGTTAGAGAGAATTTCGTCCCGAAATTAGTATTTCAGGTAGACTAGGGAAAAAGATGTGGATACTTCTGTTTCATTTGATCCTCCCGCTCCCAAGTGAATTCAGGTCCCCGTTTTGCATTCCAGCGAACCTTCACTATCGGGATACAGCTTTGTTTGGTTTTCTTAACTTCCCTGTCTAGAATCTCTACGGGTTCTTCCACAAAGTTGAGGCTCTCGTTTAACTCGATTTCCTCGAGTGGGATCACAAGAGTCTCATCAGATAAACACTTTTTCAAGTTTGAAACGTGGAAGGTAGGATGAATGTTATTTAGTTCTTAGGGTAGTCGAAGTTTGTAAGCTACAGGACCAATTCTAGCAAGAATTTCGAAGGGTCCTATGTACCTTGGACTCAATTTGTCACGCTTTCCAAAGCGTATCATGCCCTTCCAGGGTGAGACCTTTAACAAGACACGGTCACCAACCTGGAATTCCAAGGGTTTTCTTCGTTTGTCAGCGTAGCTTTTCTGTCTATCTCTGGAAGCTTTAAGTCGCTCCCGAATTTGTATGATTTTCTCGGTGGTTTCTCGAATGATTTCCGGACCAGTGAGAGCACTGTCAGGAGTTTGACCTCTAGCTAGCTGCGTGTCACCCACTTCAGCCCAACACAGA